TGCCACATAACTCATATCTCTAAGTCTTTAGGAACTATATCTTGTCTGTGGCATATCCTCAGGGGAGGGGTAGTTCCCCTAGCACCTATCAAAGGGCCAGGAACAAAACAGATGCTCAAAAATATTTGTTAGAGAATGAAAAAGACAGGGGGTATAAAAAATAGGAGCCTACCTATCACACAATCATAAAGTAGTAAGACTTAGCCATTAAGTTCAAGGATAGGCTTGTGACAACGGAAAAGAAAGGATGAATAGGGGCACAATAAAAATGCTAAATGGGAAGTTCACAAACCTGAATCCTGACTGAGTTGATGCAATTCAGTATACACAATTAGGAGATTCATCTAACTCAGCAGTGTCCAAATCCTGACTGATCATCAAAATCACCCAGGCATAAGGATGATTTTTTGTTTCGATGTGTTTTAATTTTTCCTGATAATTCTGTCATAACTATATCTAACCAATATTTAGGAACTATTCACCTGTATGTCCTGTAAGGCAACTTTCAGCACTAAGTTCTAATTAAACCAAGATATCCACAAACAAGTAATTGATAACAGGACTTGGTAAGTAACTAAATCTAAGAGCAAAAAGGATGTTATTATACAAATTAGATTTTTTTTAGCGGGTTGGCCTAGTCACAATTTGCATATAAAAGGCAGCCAATAAACACTAGATTATCAAATGAACGAGGTGAGCAGTTAAGAGTAGATTTGATGTTGGATTTGAGTTTCTCCCAACTGTGGCTCTACCAATAATTTGTCCTTCAGGGCTATGTCAACAGAACTCTCTTCCTTCTTGCCTCAAATGGGTATTTGTATTTGACCCTGCTATTTTGGCTATTACAAACATTATCTCTTCTGTGGGTTACAGCACCCAGTTTCTCTTTAAGAATTACCCTCCCCCATTTTGTAGTCCTACAAGAACTATAATCAGGTCTTGACTCTCTCTTAGACTTTGAAAGCCTGAGTGTCCTAAGAGCAGAGAAATCAGTTGGTGTTTGTCATTGTTGCAGTGGCACTAAGTTAATTCCTGCTTCTGAGATCCTTGGGCTGCCCTGGTTTCTCACCATTTAACTTGGCCTTGTTCTCAGACCATTACGTCTAGAAACTATCCAGTATCCTTCTAATAAACCCCCATTTAATAAGCCATTATCAATTTTTGATAGTTGCAAAAGAACAAAAACTAACAGAGAGGAAGAAATGTGATCCATGTAATTTTAAATTTTATCATGGCGTCATTAAAAAAAAGAAACACATGAAATTAATTTTAATGCTATATTTTATTTAAAGCAAGACATATGAACTATTATTTCAACATCGTCAATATAAAAACCACTGAGACATTTTGTTTTGTTGTTCCAAGGCTTTGAAACGTACCATGTATTTTACATGTATAGCTCACCTCAACTTCGACACTAGATTTTCAAAGGTTAAAGTGAAATGTAGCCCTTCCAAAACTAAAATGTGTATAATGAGAAAATATTTTACACTACTCGTTTTTAAATTTAACTAAAATTAGGGGCGCCTGGGTGGCCTAGTCATTAAGCATCTGCCTTCGGCTCAGGTCATGATCCCAGGGTCCTGGGATCGAGCCCCGCATCTGGCTCCCTGCCCAGAGGGAAGCCTGCTTCTCCCTCCCCCACTCCCCCTGCTTGTGTGCCCTCTCCCTGTCTCTCTGTCAAATAAATAAATAAAATCTTTAAAAAAAAAATTTAACTAAAATTAAATATTCAGTTCCTCAGTCCCAATATCCACATTTCAAGTGCTCAGTAGCTATATACGACTAAGCTTACTGTATTGGGCTGCAGTCTTAGATCTGCTACTAGAGTGAAGAGACTCAGGGGATCTTTTCTTGATATATCTAGTAACTGGAAGAATTGGGAAGTTTTCACACTTCCAACAAATTCCATTATGAACGGATTCAGAATTGTGTGAAGACCTACAGAAGTATCTCTTCCCCCAAAATGACATTTCCTTGACTTTGTAACTGAAACAGGTCAACACATTATTGAGTGTGAGAGTCATCTTCTGTATTCTATAATTTAGTAGCAAAGAGCTATCAAGGAGTTATCTTTCCAGTCAGGTGGTTTAATCCAAAGTTAAAATTACCTTACTACTCTTGAGTCACTTCTCATTTATTACATTTTGATGGGTGGGAAGAGCCTTTGGTGACTAGTTTTAAGTATTTCCATTGTCAAATAAAAATGTAGAAATTTGAGTATCAGGTTGAAGAATTTGACCTTTATCCCTCAGACAGTAAGTTATTATAAATTTTGGAGTTGGAGAGTGACATGATGAAGCCACGGTTTCATGAAAATGAATCAGAATCCAGTGTGCAAGTAGACTGGTAACAAGAGGTCCATAGGGAAGGTGTGCAGCTCCTAGCATCCTTAGCTGATGTACATATGCTCTTATTTCTGCCAGGACTTGTTTTCCTCTTAAGTTGTCAAGACATATGCTCATCCTTCAAGATCTAGTTCATAGTCAGGCAGTTTCCTGGATGTAGAGAGCAGACTGGGTCACTTCTTCACCTCTGCCCCCACAGAACTTCTTTCAAAATTCTAAACAGAAGTCAAATTCGGAGATAAAAAATAGAATGGTAGTTACAGAGGAGGAGAGAATGGGGAATTAATGTTTAATGGGTACAGAATTTCAGTTTTGCAGGTTGAAATGTTGTTAGAAGGTGGAGCAGAGACAATAAAGTATCCCCCAAACTGAGAAGGCACTTTGAGACTGGAAAACGAAGCAGGTCACTCCATACAGTTTACACAGAGTTTCATTCAGGGTAACTTACTGACAAGGGGGATTGGGCAGAGAACAATCTGCAGCAGCTGCGTAGTTATTCTCTGAAAAATCCACACCTTAATGTACAAATTTTATAAAGGGAAGAGACATGCAGAAGGGCATTGTACTGAGATCAAAGGGTTCAAACGCACCTCAAAGGGCTTGCACACACCTGACAGCTAACCTTCAGTTATCTATTGGCACCACCCGTGTCAAGAAGGGGAGAAACTACATTATCTCTAACAAATTAATGAGACGCCAAACAAGCCTCTCCTCATCCCAGCCTTTGTGGGCATTTCTAAGGTACGTATATTCATCTCCAAGGGGCCTGGGACATATAACCCCAAGAGAGGTCACTAAGGAAACATGAACAAGATGGAGTTAGTATTGTCAGAACTCCTACAAATGTGTCCCATGTATGCATGGAAGTGATGGTAGCACAAAACTAAGATTGAAAAAAAAAACAAAACTAAGATTGATTGGAAAGCTATTCCTGAGGCTAAATTGTCCCCTTTCAGATCTCAACTACAATGTCACACCTTTAACAGTCCCTCCATCTTCCAAGCCAGAAAGGTTTAGGTGCCTTTGCTATACCCGCTCATGAACCCCATACTTTTCTTACAGGGTTATTATTATTATAATTGTTATCTATCGCTAATTATGTGGTGTATCAGTTTGCTCTGGCTACCATAATGAAACAGTACAGACCAGGTGGCTTAAAACTTTATTGTCACAGTTCTGGAGGCTCTAAGTTCAAGATCAGGGTGTCAGCAGAACTGGTTTCTTCTGAGGCCACTCTCCTTGTGTGCAGATGGCCATCTTCTCGTCCTCGTCACACAGTGTTCCCTCTGGATGCATGCAACCCTGGGGTCTCCTTGTGTCTCATTTCTTCCTCTTACAGAGACACCAGTCAGACTGGATTAGGACCTACCCTAAGGGCCTCGTTTTAACTTAATCACTTTCTTAAAGACCCTATCTCCAAATACAGTCAGAATCCAATACAAAACCCTGATGAACTGTGGAGGGACACAATTCAGCCCACACCATGATCGCCTCTATTGTTCCCACTTGGAAAATTATGACAACTCTTGTCTTGTTCTCATTTCAGGACCTTTCAGTTGCTATCCCTTCTTCAGCTCTTCGCAGAGTAGGTTTTTCTCAACTTTTCAGCCTTAGCACCGTCACCTGACAAGGGCCATCGTGGACCACCTGACCCAAAGCAACCCCACGAGTCACTGTATCCCATCATTTTCTTTCTTCCATGGCACTCACCATTAAGGTCAGCCGCAGGAAAGGGGGGTCGCGTGTCTTTGTGCACGGCTGGAGCCCAGTGTCTCACACTTGGTTATGAGCGAGCTTCAGTAACCACTTACCGTATCATAATGACTTTACGGACGCCACTGAGAACGCCTGCCAGGCCAGGGCCACGATTTGGGGGGGCGGGGTTACGGTTTCTTCTTTTTTTTCCTTCACCAAGTTTTCTGGCTCTGGGCTCTCACACTTACCAGCTGCGCGAACGCGTAAGTGCCCTCCCCTCCCTCCGTGGGCCTCAGGGTCCCTAAGGACGTGACAACACAGTGTCCCGAGCTGTCAGCCAGCGCCAGGAGCGCGGCGTGGGGCAGCGAGCCGCGGGCACGGCCTCAGGCCCGCCGCCCCCCTGCCAACGGTGTGGACGTCGTCTTCGGGCGGGCGGCGCAGCACGGAAGCCACCGCCTCCCCAGTTCTCTGGGCCAGGGGGCCGCCCGTCCTCGCGCCGGCGGGTTCGTCTCGGGCTGATTCGCAGGACCTCGGAGTCGGAGACGCCACGCGGCCGCAAACGGGGAGGGCAGCACGGTTTTCCGCCGCATTTCCGGAGCCCGGGCCGCCCGGGTCCGCACCCGCCTCCCTCGCTCCCTCCCTCCCTCCGACTCCCGGGCCAGCGGAGCAGCCTTCGCGGGCCTCAGGGTCCTCCGCGTGGGAGAAACGGCTACGCGGGCCGCGGTGCAGGGGCCGGGAAGCCCGTCGTCCGCGACGCAAACGCGTGTCGGACGCGGTCCAACCGGGACGGTGCGGCGAGCGCCTCAAAGGTCTCACCAGCTCCGCTGGGCCGGCGAGGCGCGGCGGGACTCGCCACCGGCCGCTCCCAGGGGCCAAAGCTCGGGCCTCCTCCGAAGGAGGCCGCTCTGGACGTGCCCCTCCCCTCGTCAAGGGGCGCTCACCCCTGCGTGTCCTTACCCCGAGCTCCTCCGGGAGGCGAGGGCTCCCTGAAGTGACGCGCCGAGATCCCGGGACGCGCCAAGGCGCGAGACACGGGGGCGGGGCCACGGGGCGGGGCGACGTGGATTGCGCGGGACGACGCCACGACGCACGCGGCGGTGGGCGTGCGCAGCGGGGGCGAGTGCGGGAGCGCGGCTCCGAGCAGGAGCCAATATGGCGGCCGAGCGCAAGACGAAATTGTCCAAGAACTTGCTGCGCATGAAGGTGCGGGGACGGCGGGGGGCGGGCCGGGCGACAGGGGTACCTGGGCTTCCGGACCTGGCAGGGGCCGCCGCGGCAGACGCGCCGGGGCACCAGGGAAGCCGCGGAGGGCCTCCGGCTTGGGCATTCATTCATTCACTTAGCGCTTGCTCTGCCTCGGGCGCTGGGGGCTGGATTGTACATCCGGCGGATTCCCTCAGACAGCCTGCGGTGGGATAGGAAGAAGACACGAAAGCAAGCAGGATGCCGTGGCACTGAGTGCGGTGGTGCTCGGAGCGTCGGAAGCCCCGGACGCGTACTTGGCTTCTGTGGGAAGTAGAGATGGAAGGGGAGGTGGGAGGGTGGCCTCAGGCAGCGTAAACCCAGGGGAAAGCGGGTTCAGAGGTCTGAGACGCGAAAACCCAAGAGATCCCTTGCGATTTCCAAGAACTGAAGATAATTCGGCATGTCCGGAAGGCAAGTAGCACAAAGTGGGCCTGGAAAAGTAGCTCGTGGCCACGTGAGGAAGTTTAGGCCAGATTAAGAATTTTTTTTTTTCCCCTTTATTTTGTGAGCATGGGGAAGCGATTGAGCACGGGTAACAGCATCTTAGCTGTCCTTTTTAATTTTCAAAGTTACTTTAACTGCCCTCTGGAGAACACACTGGTGAGAGAAAGACCTAACAAGGGACAAAATTGCGTTCAGAAAGAGCAAGTTAGAAGTTCTGATGATCTGGTCGCCGTGGCAGTGGGAGTAGAATTTGAACAGTTAAAATGAATGTCCTGGACTTTAAGCAAAATTGATGTTTAGATTCTAAATCGAATCAAGTTCACAAATAATTTCAAAGTGGGAAAGAAAAAAAAAAAAAGACAAGGGTAGATAAAAAGGAATACGGAAATTAAAACATGGGAAACAACCAGGCCTTAAAAACTTGAAGAAGAAGAATAGCAAACATTTATAGTTTCTGGTAGGTGCCAGACAGCTGTTCTGAGTGCTTTGCATATATCAGCCCATAAAATCCACCTAATAACTCTGAGGTAGTTAACAGTTATTACACCTCTCTTAGAGCTGAAGCCCTGAAACAGACAAGTTGGTAACTTGCCCAAAGTTACACAGCCAGCAAGTAGTGTAGACAGAACCAGACTCAGGCAATCTGGCTCCAGAGCCCCTGCTCTTAACTACTACTCTGTACTGCTTGTCGCTGAACTCTACAGCACAGTGTTAGATGTCATGTTTAGAGAATAATTTCCAGAAAAAAGGAAGCAAGGCATAAATAATGTTCGGAAAGATTGGAGAGTAAGTGTTGCGTGTGCCAGATTTGGAGTTGAGCCAGGGTGTAACTAGGGATGAATAGGGTGAGTGAGGGTGTAGGGTGAATCATGTAACTTATGGTTTCTAAGGTACTTCTTTCATACATATTAGCAAAATTTGAATTTTTACCCAACAGAGTCTTCTTTTGACTTATGGTTTATAATCAGAGAATTGGGTTGGATTAGCAAAGCAGGCAGATCAAATGAAGATGTGCCTGAGTGATTAGGACTCAGACCAAAGATCTGACTAAAGAGTTAGGAAGGAAGAAGTTACCTTAAAAGTATCAACCCCTACCCCAGTGGGGGGAAGACTCAACAGGACTTTGGAAGCAAAGGAGGGGGGGGGGGGAAACATTACACAGATTTTCTAGTTGGGTTAGCAGCTTCAGTCATTGATGAGAAAGAACTTATTGGCAGGACAGCAGGAAATAATATATATACAGATAGAAGAGTGTCCCGTGAGAATGAGTGGAGCACTGCATTAGGTTGCTGTATCCAGTGTAACTGTAGCTGTTCAGAGAGTTGAGAGTTGAGAATTTAATAATACATTTGTTTTCAAGTGTACCTGAAATCCTCTGTCTTGGTCACCTGTTGGGAACTGGAGGGTGATCCTGATGGGAAGTAGAAAGTGAAGGATGGGGACACCTGGGTGGCTCAGTCGGTTAAGCGTCTGCCTTCGGCTCAGGTCATGATCCCAGGGTCCTGGGATCGAGTTCCGCATCGGGCTCCCTACTGCACGGGGAGCCTGCTTCTCCCTCTGCCTCTGCCTCTCTCTCTCTCTCTCTCTCTCTCTCTCTATCTCTCATGAATAAATAAATAAAATCTTAAAAAAAAAAAAAAGTGAAGGATGTAGGTGGTATTTCTGTCAGTGTAATGGAATGACTGTAGAGAGGGGACTTCTTTGTGATTTTAGCTCTTTGGGGCTCTTAAGACAGGAGTTGGTAAACTTTTTCTGTAAAGGGACGGATAATAAACACTTTAGGCTTGTGGGCCAAACAGTCACTGTTGCACGTACTCACCTCTGCCATTGTAGCTCAGAACCAAATGAGCATATCTTTGTTCCAATAAAACTTTATTTACAGCAATTGATGTCCAGCCTAAGGACTGTAATTTGTGATACCTGCTGTAGGCCCTCACTTGTGAGTAAAGCCAAATCACTAAGCTTTAATAGAGAGTTCTTAGATGCTGTAGAGTCAGGAGAATTGGATTGCTAAATCTGGAGTTGCTTGATTCGTATTCATAGGGTGTTCTAGCCTTTCCATGTGTACAGAATACACACACGTGCGCGCACACACACAGACATATATAGCTATTTTGTATGCCATAAATAATACTTACTTGACTAAAAATAGGAGATAAAAAGGCAGTTGGGTAGGATTGGTGAGTTGTATCACCAAGAATATAAGTGATGAAATGAGGCATCTGGGTTTAAAGAACCATCCAAGAAAGAGAGTCTGGGAGAATAAGACAAGTCTGGATTTACATTCAGAGAAACTTTGTTTTTTTAAAGATTTTTATTTATTTATTTGACAGAGAGAAAGAGTGAACACACAAGCAGGGGGAGCAGCAGAGGGAGAGGGAGAAGCAGGCTCTCCGCTGAGCACTGGTGCATCTGGTACGCAGGCTGCAGTGGATATACAAGAGTTCAGTAAAGGTTTGTGCTGAGGCACCTGGGTAGCTCAGTCAGTTGAGCATCTACCTTCGGCTCAGGTCGGCCAGGGTCGGGCTCCCTGCTCAGCGCAGAGCCTGTATATCTGGATGACTCTTGTATATCTGCTGCAGCCTGAGTACTGGTAATAGAAGATGAACAAGAGACATAGTCTGCTGTTCAGAATCTCTGTCTTTTGGGAGACACAGAAGAAACATAATGAACAATAAGCCAGTGCTTATAAGGCTCTTAGACGTAGGGAAAGATGTTCTTTTATGGGAACAGGTCGGTGAAGAGCTTGGCCAAACAACAGTCAGGAGGGCCCAAAGGACATGTGCTCTGGGCCTTTACAAGTGGATATTTTGCCAGGTAGAAAATGGAAACATGTTGAGTAGCAGAGGCAGAAAGATTGGGAAGTACAGGATATGCATTCCAGAAACTGCCAGTTCTTTCCTGGGTGAGGATAGAGACACAGGTAAAAGGATGAAGACTACAAAACACTTTAGATAGAGTGTAAACATTTCCTTTACATTTATTTAAAATAATGATGGATTCACAGGAAGTTGCAAAAAATGTACAGGGAGATCCTATGTACCCTTCACTCCCTGTCTTCTATTGCTAGAGTACGGTGCAAAGCCAGGAAATTGACAGTGGTACAATTCACAGAACCACCATTTTACTCGTGTGTGTGTGTGATCTTTCCATACAGCTTATCATGTGCAGATTTATGTAACTACCACCACATTCAAGATACAAAACTGTTTCATCACCATGAGGAGCAGGGAGCCCTATGCGGGACCCGATCCCAGGACTCTGGGATCATGACCTGAGGTGAAGGCAGACACTTAACCGACTGAGCCACCCAGGCGCCCAATTTTGTTATTTTAAAGATGTTCTATTAATGGAATTGTACAATATGTAAACTTGTGCGATTGGCTTTTTTTCACTCAGCATAATTCACTGAGTTCCATCTAAGTTGTTGGATATCAATAGCTCCTTCCCCTTTTTATTGCTGACTAGTATTCCATTCTATGGAACTATCATAGGACTTAACCATTCACCTGTTGAAGAGTATTTTGGTTGTCTTCAGTGTTTGGCTATTAAGAAATAGAGCTGCTGAGAATATTCCTGTATGAGTTTTTGAGTGAACGTAAGTTTTCATTTCTCTGAGATAAATGCTCAAGAGGACAATTGCTAGGTTGTATGGTAAGTGCATGTTTAGTTGGATAAGAAACTGTCAAGCTGTTTTCCGCAGAGGTTGTACCATTTTATATTCCCACCAGCAAGGTATGAGTGATCCAATCACACCACATCCTCGTCAGAACTGTATGTTATCACTGTATTTTATTTGTAAATGTTTTTCAAGTTTTGTCATTTCATTTAGTATTCATTGGTAAAGCCCTTATGCCTAAAAGTGCTTGTGTTTTTGGAAGGGTTGGAATGGAGGGAAAAGTAATACAGAGCTTGGACAAGGGAAAGAAAGAAGGATAAATGGAAACTAGTGAAATTCTAGAGCTAACTTCTGGAGGCTCCTGGATGTTTTCTGAATTTATTTTTTCCTTATTAATATTCTATCATTTTGCTGTGTTCACTGGTCCCCGGAGGAAATATTGTTTATGGAGGGAAGAGACTAGCAGCTAGACTGCTGATTTCTCTACTGGCCTATTTTGAGTTGAGCTTCTGCACTTTTTAGAATAAAGAGCAGCCGCAGAGGTAATCAGCCTTTCAGAGGACAAATACACGTGAAGAGCAGGCTTATAGATACAGCTTTGCTTTGTTCTGTGTTTACAGACCCTTTACTACATATCATTCATCACGCTGAAACTGAGCAAGGAGACAATCTAGACAAAGTCCCTGCCCTCAGGGTCTTCAGAAGAGACAGGTGCTCAAGAAATTAAAGTGGTGAGACTGTTTCAGGATGTCATATGAAGCATCTAGGAGAGAAATGCCAGTTTGGCTTGCAGGTGTCAGAGATGATTTCACAGAGATGGAGTAGCTTTTCCTATATATCAGAAGGGCTAGGAGTTGCCCAGGTGGAGGAGCATGAGAAAAGGCATTCCAGACCAAGATCAGCAGGTACAGAGACCAGTGGGCTCCGTGGGTCATCAAGAGATTCAGAAAGTATTGAGTCTCTCCTATTTCTGCTCCTCTCACTTTCCGTCTCTACCTGCCTGTCCTGATCTGTATCTTTTGTCTTAGCCCTTCCCCACTGGCTACTATGTAAAACTGAAACATTTATGAGCTACTTACCTAATACAGTTTTTTTATTGTTTGTTTTTGTTAAATTAGACAAACTAAAGTACAGTAAAGATCTTTCCGAAGTCTTCTGAAGGAAGTCCACATTACTTTTTTGTGTGCCCTAGTGGGCTCCCTGCTAGTCTGGTGTGACGTTCTCAAGGGCAGAGCTAAGCTGCTTTGGTCCCAGCACCTCCACCCTCACCCCTGAGATAGTATTCCTGGAGAAATGGGGGAAAGCACATGGAGGAATAAAGTCATTTGAGTTTTCCTCAACTCTAAGTTGAGAAAACACTAGTTGCTGACACTGATTTTGTTTTGTTTTGACAGTTCATGCAAAGGGGACTGGACTCGGAGACCAAGAAACAACTAGAAGAGGAAGAAAAGAAAATCATTAGTGAAGAGCACTGGTATTTGGATTTGCCAGAGCTTAAAGAAAAAGAGTAGGTTAATTAGAAATTATATTAATGATGCTTTGGGCCTTCAGAGGGAAATCCCTATAAATGGGACTCATCGTTCCAGTGACCACAAAGCCCATAAAATAGTATCTCTTCAGTTTCTTGAATTAGCTTTGCAAATAATTTTCTAAAATTATTAAATCTATATAAGTTCTACTTGGATTTATACATTTTTACTGGCCCTCATTTATAACGTTGTTCTTTTTCTATGATGAATAAAGCAATCTAGCCCATTCATCTCTGGTAATAACTGGGGAGCTTTTATGAGAATCTGCGGTATGCTCCCTGTCACATTAAGTTTGAAGATTAAGTTGGAAGGTGTGTACTTTAGGCCTCTCCAGTTTTGTTTGAATAGTAGAGTTCTTAAAAGCAAGTCAAGAGTTTAGAGTGTTTCTTTTTTTTTTAATTTTTACTGCTTTTAATACCAGTCACCTTAACTAACATTTATTGAGTCTATAACATGTGCCAGGAACTGAGCTAAGCATTTAAAATCTCTTAGTTATTTAATCCTCAGAGCAGACTTAGGAGCTGGCTACTGTCATTCCATCCATTTTATAGCTGAGAAATCTGAAGCTTGAGAGAGTAACTTGCCCAGAGTCAGCCAGCTGGTCATGGCTAATGCTGGATACCATACTAGACTGTTTCTCTTCCACCTCTAAGCGTTGTTGGTGCTTGAGAAATAATTTTGAATGAAGGAGTGATAGGTTCATATCATCCATTGATTTTTATCTAAATTCTTTTTTTTTTTTTTTAATTTATTTATTCATAAGAGACAGAGAGAGAGAGAGGCAGAGGGAGAAGCAGGCTCCCCGCTGAGCAGGGAGCCCAATGCGGGACTCAATCCCAGGACCCTGGGATCATGACCTGAGCTGAAGGCAGACGCTTAACCATCTGAGTCACCCAGGCGCCCTGATTTTTATCTAAATTCTTAAAGCTACCATTTCTCCTTGGTGCTTTTCTTATCTTAGTGAGCTCTGTGGTATGGTAGTTTTATTTCAACTTTGTCAGATGATGGAAGATGTGCTTATTCAGGCACATTTATGTTTTTCCTTTCTTTACCTAATAATTTTTTTGTTTTGTTTTTGTTGTATTCCTTTGTTCATTTGGCTGACCTCTCTGGATCTTTTCTGGAAGGCTATATATCCTTCCCTAAAGATAGAAAGCATGCCCCACCAAAGATATGGAAGGAAGGTACTTTGTTTTCTCTACTTGCTTCTTTGTTTGCTTTTCTCTGCTGCTTCTCGGAGGAAGCAAGGTGGCCCTGAGGAAGGGGAAGACAAAGCCAGAGACAGTGTGGATTTGGGAGCAGGGTGGTGTAGGAAGGGACCATTACTGGTAAGGATCTATAATTTAATTTTATGCCTTGACTAAACTTGCACAAAGTATTCCAGATTTTTTTTTTACTTATTGTTATTGAAGGGCAAGATGGTTTCTATCTTGTTTTCAGTATTTTTTCCCCCAACATAACATATTCCCAGAAAAATGACCTTTAGATTCCTTTCCTGGGAGGCAAATGTCCCCATCCTTTTGGGCTACTATAACAAAATACCACAGACTTGGTAGCCTACAAAGAACAGAAATTTATTTCTCACAGTTCTGGAGGCTGGAAATCCAAAATCAAGGCACTACTGTGGTGGTGTTTTGGTGATGGCTGTCTCCCTGGTTCATAGCCAGCAGCTTCTCACTGTGTCCTCACCTGGTGAAAGGGGCTAGGAGGGGAGGTTCCTTTTCTTTTTGTCTTTTTTAAGAATTTATTTATTTATTTGAGAGAGAGCAGGGCAGGTAGCTGGGTGTTAGGGCAGAGGGAGAGAGAGTCTCAAGCCGACTCCATGCTAAGCACAGAGCCGACTCAGGGCTCGATCTCCATGATGCCAAGATCACAACCTGAGCCGAAACCAAGAGTTGGAGGCTTAACCAACTGTGTCACCCAGGCACCCCAGGTCTAGGGGATTCTGTGGAGTCTCCTTTGTAAGGTGCTAATCCCATTTATGAGGGCCCCACCCTCGTGACTTCAGCTACTTCCCAAAGGCCTCATCTCCTAATACCATCATCTCTGGGGGTTAAGATTTCAACATATGTATTTTGTGGGGGATACAAGCAGTCAGACCCTAGCAAGAAATAATACACCTTTGCCACCATTCAGTGCCTATTTGTGTATAGATGTGTATATTAGATTAAGTCGTTGGCAGGAAAAGATGACAGTGTCAAATTGGGTAATTCGAGAGTATAACAGAGTAGGGCACAGGGAGGCCATCAGGGACGGTGCATAACCTATGGGGCATGGGGAGTAATTTCCACTCCAGGCCCAGAGGGTCAAGGGGAGGGAATGGTTACTGAATCTGAAGACATCTTACAAGAGCTGCTATCTTCATAAAAGAGCACAGCCAGCCTGACGTAATCCCATGGAAGGAAGCCTGGTTCCAGACTGCAAAGGACCCCTTCCATGTGTAACATTTAAATCAGCCTCCCAGGATACAGAATGGGGGGAGATAATGAGAAGTAGATCTGGAGAGAAAAATGGATGCTATTTCTTCAGGGTGTGTGTTTTTTAACACCCCAAATAGGGAGCCAGAGGAATGGATTAGTTAATTAAGTGCATGGGCTCTGGAATCCGGCAGATCTGTGTTTGATGCCCAGCTCTGCCACTTGCTTACTTGTGACCTTGGACATGGTGTGTAACTCCTCTTTTGTCATCTACGTATTGGGTATGATGATAACATCTGTCGCATACGTTTTGAGAAGTAAATGAGCTAAGGTATGTGACGCCTTTACCACAGCAGGTCAGGCCCAAAGCACGATAAACACTGCCAGCACGTGTATTGCCTTATACTTGGACATTACGAAATTTGCCCGTTCTTTCTTGCTCTTTTGTGTTTGTGGTCTTTCCTTGGTGTATCTGAATTATTCCAGAGGGTTACTGCTCTCTTTGAAATTGGAGGCTTCGCTGTGTATATGCTCTGGAAGTCTAGAGGTTGCCATCTGTGATGTCTGTCATATCGCCCCGTAATTCAGCGAGGCCCATTAGGGCCTTTAGTCCACAGCTTCCCTGGGGGGCTACCCCTAGCCAGTGCCTGAGCTGTGAGGGGGATGACGGACTGCTTTGCCTCAACTGGGAACACCTGTGGGGCCTTCTAGGCCTCCCCCCCTCCCTCCAGAGCTCCTTATAGGGGCTGAGGCCTTAGTGTAGCCACATTGCAGGTCACCTCTTCCTGCCCAGTCCTGCCATCCTCATTTCCATAGAGGGGCATCTCCCAAACAGCCCTGGCCGATAATACTTCTGCACACAATTCTGTCTCAAAGTCTGTTTCTGGGGAACCTGATAGAAGACGCTTGCTATAAATTCCTGGAAGTAGAATTTACAGATCAAAGATTGTGCTGTGTTTTTGCCATATTTTTCTCCAAAGGATGTGCCCCAGTACAGAGACTAGCCAGTTTAATTGCTTTTTTGCCATACTTTTGCCTCAAAAGTATATTTGGCTACCATGTTCTTGTGCTTGTATATTGTGGCCTAATGAATGTTGGGAACTGTGAGATCTGAGATTGTACCCTACTTGCAAATTAATAGGTTAGCTGGACACAGTTTCATGGATGCTGGTGGAAGGTACAAGACTCTTGGGTCAGACACAAGGACTTCATTACTCACAGCACAGCAAACAGAACGAGCATCTCTTTTGCATCATTTCCCCTGTGTCCCTCAAATCTCATGGGGGATGATGTGGCGAGGCCCACCTGTATGTGTTGCCCACAATAGATTTGTATCACAGCTGAGAAGTCTTGAATTTAGGAAATCTATATCTTTAATACGGGACTGCAAGCCAACTTGCCCTTAGCTCCCAAAGAAAGACATTATTATACTGGATATTAAGCAAGTCTGCACTTTGCTCAAAACGAAGACAATAGCTCTGCCTTTCAAAGTGGTTCACTATACACACATCCCTGAAAAGATGTTCCAGACCAAAAGGGCATTTCGTGTCTCATTCACTGGAGAGATCCATAGAGAATTGTTTCCCTACAGTGAGTTTTTCCCCCGCTTTGCCATGCATGTTATTTGTGGCTTTAAGGCAAGTCTGGGTTTGGTTTTTTTTTGGTTTGTTTTTTGAGCAGTAGTTTCTCATCTGTAAAAATAGATGAAATAGATGATATCTTGGATGTGTTTTGGCTCTAAAATTATGGATCCTTATTAACAAAAATTAAGGATATTAAAATACAGAATGCTTACAGTTTTAGAATATTTAATTTTTTGCTAATTCTGTATTTAATTAATGTTCCTAATTATTGAAACTGCTTGTAGATAAGGAAGCACCTATGCTCCTTTTTATATTAAAGTTATTGTGTCATTGGAAACCTCTGGGAAAGCCCTCTGACTGGAGCAGTGGTCCTGCTGTGCATCCATTCCTAGCCTCTGGATCTTTTGTCTTGAGTGCTTAAACGTGTAGTTATGGTGCTTTCCTGCGAGGGTGATGGATTTGGGAGACGGATGAGGTTTTATCAGCTGCACTCGATAATGACCAAGATTAGGCAATTGAGAGGGAATACCACACCTTATGGAAAAGGTTGAACAAAAGGTTCTGGAGAATGTGTGCCTCAATTTAGGCTCCCTCAGGGAAGGGGGTTCCTGAAGGAAGTGAGGTGCTGGCTGAACTAGAGGGCCAGGGAGAGAGGAACCCGAAGAACAGTGGTTCTCAAAGTTTTGGGCTCAAGGATCATTTACATTTTATAAAATTACTTAGAACCCCTGAAGAGCTTCTATTTGTGTGGTTTATTTCATGTCGATATTTAATGTGTAAAATTACAACAAAATTTTTTAAATGCTCACTTTAAAGACAGACTCCTATTGTTAACATAAATAACACATTTTTCATGAAATATAACTGTTTCCCAGGGTGCCTGGGTGGCTTAGTCGGTTAAGCATCTGCCTTCGGCTTAGGTCACGATCCCAGTGTTCTGGGATTGGGCCCCACATTGTGTTCCCTGCTCAGCGGGGA